ACAGGGGTGCCGACGCAGCCCCTTCCCAAATTCAAAAAACTCCACTTTTTTAAACCTATTATTTTACAAAATTGTTCCTAGTTATCACGAAATGCTATTGCATGCATTGCATTAGATATTTGCCAGCTCTACTAACCGTTGATTTTTAATGATGTGGTATGAAATTTGTTGGAAATTATTCGGGTCCGGTGATTGCAGATTGATCCATAATACGAACAATGTTAGGCCTATCTGATGTTCCTATGTAAAGGACATATAACTTTACTTCTTCGTCAAAATGCTACTTCATCCGAGCCTCTGGGCTCTTCCCACAAACTCTCTGCCCCTGGACCCAAAAATTTCAAAAAGTCCACTTTTGAAAATCTATTATTTCACTAAAATCTTTCTTAATTATCGCGAAATGCTATAGTATGCATTGCATTTTATTTGGCCGCTCCACTGTTGATTTTTAATGTGCTACGAAATGTGTTGGAAATTATCAGCTCCAGTGATTGCAGATTGATCAATGTTATCTGTTGGCCTGCAGATGTAGAGGACATAAAAAGTTACAACTTCACAGTGGCGGATTCAAGGTGGGGCGAGCCGCTCCCCCCCCCCCCCCCAAAACCCCCCCCCCCCCACAAAAAAAAGTTATAAAGGAAACAGAGAAAAGAGAAAAATTATAGGCCTAATTAAGTACGGTATAGGTCTGTGAGCGCAATTTTTGGCCATTTAAAGATACCATAATCATAAATTTTCTTACCTCAACCTCAACCATGGTTGGGCTGAGGTACGGTGGTATAGACCATCCGCCTGTGAAAGTTCCTCCCTGCTTCCCTTCCCCATCTCTATTTTGAATTCCTGAATCCGCCACTGCTTTGGGTACCTAAACAATACCCAAAAGAATGAAAATTTAAATAGAATATTATGAATTATAGGTTTCAGAAATCCAATAAAAGGCCTTCAAAATGCTAATTTGTCGGAGCTTTCGAGGGATTCGATACCCCTAAACCCCCGCGGGGATCCCTAGGCGGCCCCCATCATAAGGTCCGCTTCGCTCACAAAACGCACTTCGCTCACAAAACGTACTTCCCCATCTTAAAATCCTGCCTACGGGCCTGTTTAGAGTTGATGCATTTTTTGCTGTGATAGCTACAATAGTTTTACACATTGTTTGTTTGGCAAATATTTTATCTATTAGAGCAATTTTTCGTCCGAGTGTGAAAGCCTGAGACAGGGACGTATCCAGGGGGGGGGGGAGCCGTGGGAGCTGCGGCTCCCCCCCCCCCCCTTTGTACACAGTGTTACAATTTTAAAGCTTATTCTTGAGCCAATACAAATTCTTTCCTGGGATAACTTAAAATGAATACTTCTAAACATGTAAATATGCATCAATACACGTTATACATAGGCC